GAGGTTGGAACTAAAATGCAGGACACCGGCCCTCCAGGACTGAGTTTGGACACCCCTGCATTAAACTAATAAAAACATTCATAACAAGATTTTTACTTAAAAATTAATTCTACTTATTAATCTATTTATTAACAAGTCTTGTCGTCGACCCCAGTTGTAAGAGCAACAAATACTAACTTGACTTCTAGTTGATCATTTGGAAAAGTGTCAGGATTGTTGATCTGCATACCAATCATCAACAATACTGCAGAAGACCTACTGGAACCAGCATGGAGCCAAGATTCTCACAGAAATCAGTCAAGTTTGGTGAAGAAGAAATCATGGTTTGGGGTTACATTCAGTTTGGGGGTGTGCGAGAGATCTCCAACATCAACAGCCTGAGATATCAAGACATTTGTGCTGTCCATTACATTACAAACCACAGGAGAGGGACAATTCTCCAGCAGGATAGCGCTCCCTCTCATACTGCAGCCTCCACATCAAAACTCTTGAAAGCAAAGAAGGTTAAGGTGCTGGAGGATTGGCCAGCCGAGTCACCAGATATGATTATTATTGAGCATGTCTGGGGTAAGATGGAGAAGGCGATGAAGATGAATCCAGGGACTCTTGATGAACTCTGGGATCCTGCTGAAGGCTTTCTTCTTCATTCCAAATGACTTTATTAATCAGTGATGTGAGTCATGTCAGAGATGTATGGATGCAGTCCTCCAAGCTCATGATGGAGTCAGACACAATATTCATTCTGTCTCCACTGCAGCAGGACTTTATATTCTATACTGGACATTATTTCTGTTCAGTGATGAGACTTTAGTCTGAGCAGAGTCAGAGCTTACTGTCCTCATCAATCAGTCAACAAGACATCATCAGAATTTATTGAGCTCAAATAAGCAAAATCTAGAGGCCTTCACCTTTCATAGAGACACTTCTGACACCAAATCAACAACTAGAAGTCAAGTTATTACTTGCTGTTCCTAAAGCTTAGATAGGCAACAAGACTTGACAAGTAGTGTATACATAAAATAAATATCACAGTTTCCATCCAAAATATTAAGCAGTAAAAGCATTAGGAGCAAAAATAAGAAATATTAACAACTGATAATTAGGCAGCAAATGAGAATTTTGAATTAATTCAAGTGAAAAATCATGTGACACTAAAGGTAGAGATAATACTGTTGACAATTCATCTTTGTATCACATCAATAAAGTCATTTATTTCATACCTGCGAAAGTGTGGAGTCACTGCAGGCCTTTCTTGCATCCTGAAAAACAACCATAAATAAAATGCATCCCACAAAACAGACAGCACAGGAAGTATATTGTTTACATGGGATTCCTCTCATTTGCGCATTTCCTTTTGTTGCATGTTACGGAGTCACCCTTACCCGGATCTGATTGCGAAGCTGATCCGCTTCCTGACGCAACTGCTCCAACTCACTCATTGTTCCTGTTTGACCTGCACCTGAGACGACGACGTGCTGGACCTGCAAGACATGCATACAGCCTACGGTGAGCCAATTATGAGAACAACAAACTGCAATTGTGAAATCAAAGGTTGCACTATTGATGCAATCATGAAATCAAACTGCAGTGGTGAAGTCAGATGCTGCACTAGTGACACATGCAATCATGACATCAAATCGCTTGTGAAATCAAATGCAGCGCTACCAATACATGCAATGAAGAATCAAACTGCAATCGTGAAATCCAAAGTTGCACTAATAACACATGCAACTGTGAAATCAAACTGCAGTCATGAAATCAGATGCTGCACTAATTATGTATGCAATCATTGACATTAAACTGCAGTCATGAAATCAAGTGCTGCACCAGTGGCGCATGGAATCAGGAATCACTAATAATGAATGCAATCATGAAATCAAATGCTGCACTAGTGACGCATCGGGATCATAAAATCAAACTGCAGTCGTCAAATCAAACATTGCACTAGAGACGCATGCAATCATGAAATCAGACAACGGTCATGAAATCAAATGCAGCACTATTGATACATGCAATGAATCAATCAAACTGCAATCATGAAATCAAAGGTTACACTAATGATGCATGCGATTATAAAAACAAAACGATGCACCACTGATGCATACAATCATGAAATCAAACGCAGCACTGCTGATACATGCAATCTAGAAATCAAACTGCAGTTATAAAATCAGTCACAACTTGCTGCACTCAAATCAAACTTCACTCGTCAAATAAAACCCTGCACTACTCACGCATGCAATCAAAAAATATAACAACTGTTGTGAAATCAAATGCAGCACTACTGATACATGCAATTAAGAAACCGCAATCTTAAACTTAAAAGGTTGCACTAGTGAGTGACGCATGCAAAAATGAAATCACTCATTAGTGCAACTTTTGATTTCACGATTGCAGTTTGATTTCATGATTGCATGCATAAGTAGTTTGGCCTCAAAATTGCGTCCATTTTGGTCGTATATGCGCCTAAATTTTATCAATGCGATCTCCAAATATATTTGGGAGGATTTGTGCGAGTGCTTTAAATTGTTGTGTGCGACCGGTTTTTACTGCAAAATGATCACCACATGCGCGGATTCGGCAGACATTCACGCAGAATGCATCATTGCACTTGAATGGTTTAAAACGGTTGACATGTCAACTTGCTGCAGTAAACAAAGCCTGCGATGTTCGCCCCGCCTTCGTGCTCTTCTTATTGGCCCACTGCTCTAGAACTGAACGCGAATGATTGGTTAATATCAGCTGTCAATCATTCAGTCGACGCCTTCTGGCTTGGAATGACAGTGAACTACAACCGTGAAAATGTAAAGCGCTGCAGATGAGAATGAAAATAACACTGACAGATTTAGTTTTAGAAACCATCTAAAGTTACATATAATGACACATCTTACTAGTGATCATGTGCTGAATGTTCCGCCATCTACACTTTTCCAAGAGTGGATAAAAGACTTCCGTTGGCTTCAACTCCGCTATGAAAAGTCTGTGGGATGGAGTTTTCAGGTAACTGTGCCACATCTAGCACGAGAGCTTCTGTTTAATCCTTCATTTAATCGCCAGATGCTGTCCACCGTGCAAGGGGCAGCTATATGTCAAATTGAACACCACGTACACCCTCGCGAACGGGCTTACACTGAGTAAACTAACATCGCTACTCATAAAAAGACCAGTATTGCTGTTAACATGACATGCATATAATAAGGTACAGTACATGTCAAAAGCATCAGTGCAATATCAGACAGCACCCGTGAGAACAGCACAGTTACACCGTTAACAGATTCATTCATGTCCAGCAGTGTGTGCAGGGCTGGTGAGCGCTCTGCGTATCTTTTGGTCACTCAGTTCTGTTATAAAAATCTATTTTCTTGTGATAACGGGATTTCTTTGAGACATATTTTCCTCAAGCTTGCATATATATATATTTGCTTGTTAGTTTGATTACTGTTGATTTCAAATGCAATAAATATGTTTGTATAAAACTTGTAGTAACGGTGCTTATAATTGGTGGGTGCAACTAAATGTTGGCTGATGCGCCTACATTTTCAAAGTTAGGAGCACCGGTGCTACCAAGCAAAAAGGTTGATTTCGAGCCCTGGTAGTGCAGTGTTTGATTTCACGATTGCAGTTTGATTTCATTTTAGCATGCATCACTCGCTAGTGCAACCTTTGAATTCACGATTGCAGTTTGATGCAAGCAAAAAATGAAATCAAACTGCAGTTAGATGCTGCACTAAAATCAATCGTAGTAAGACAAATCAGTCGTAAAATCAAACACTGCACGACAAAAGCATGCAATCATGAAATCAAACGCTGCACTGCTGTTGTATGAAATGAATCAGTGATGCAATCATGAAATCCCTAAAAATGCAACTACAAATAGTCCCAGGACAGGGTTCGTTTGAGCAAATCCATTTTAACACAGTTAATTAAATGCACTTAAACTGATCTGAGAGCAGTGGGAAATGACACAGAGCTCAAAGGGTGTTCAAACCCCTCTGACTGCTGCCAAATGCCACCCATATGTTCACTGACCTTTCAGTCAAATCTTTTGATTCCATTTGACTGCGTTAATAGAGTTAGAAGATCTACAAACTCAAACAGCGTCCGAGTTACTAATAACATTGTTATCAATGAAGTCAATTCTAGATGGCTTTGGTGAGGCGTCTTTCGGGAATAGTCATTCATGATTATAAACAAATAATTTGATTTGTCCATCAACTTAGGAAATAAATTCTCTAACGAGTTCATTCTAAGGGGTTAAATCACTTTTTGTTCAAAAATTGCTGGCGAATATTATTATTACATAGAAAAGATATACAAATGAAATGTGAAGATACTCTAGAACTAGAACTCTATTTACATAATTTAATATATTTTAATGTGCATAAATATGCACGATCACTTGATTAATAATACTTTTTTGACTGGCAATAAAAATACTAAACTATAAAAATATTCATTTACACAATTTAATGAGTCCTAATTTTGCATGATAATTGGACATACAGCAAAGTCACTGGCAGACTATATTCATAATAATGTCAGTATTTTTATATTAATAATCTGCCTACCAACATATACAATGATAAACACCTGGAATATGTCATGTTTACAAACCAATTTTTTGAATGAATATAGCTCCTTTTACACTTTGACAACAGTAAATGTCTGGAAAATTAACTAAAAAAGTGCTGTTCACACAGGCGAGGACGTTACAGAACTTTTCTGGAAAATACCCTTCACACATCCCATCCAAAATAGCGGTAAATTCTGACATCATTAACCAGAAATGAGCTGTAAACGGCTGCGCTTGTATTAGTAAACGTTTGACTACATCACAAACTCTGTGGATGATCAGTGTTGTGAAAAACTTCGATGAAAATATAGAGGAACACTTTCACATGTCGAGATGTAGATAATGTGCATGTGTGCTGGCGCTCACCGGCTGCTTTATGTGCATACATCAGAGCTTAAAGGTAAACATAAGCATTTTATCGAGAATTATTTACACAGTTGGCATTAAGAAGGAACATAGAAACGTTATGTGACTAACATTTAGCAGCTAAATGTCTGGGTAAAACAATCACAGGCTATTATTCTCACAAACCACAAGGACATGAATGCATCTCAGTGTTCTTGATTGGCTAGAGTAGACGTCTCACGTCAGCATGTTCTAAGTATGAACGCGCTCTTTCCGGCAACCTTCTTTCTGTGTTGACACAGCGCAGCATTCCGGCAAATAACCGATAATGTTACAACTTCTCTTTACGTAAAATAGACGGAACGAATTCACCGGTATTTTCTAAAATTAGCTGTTCACACAAACACACCTTTTCGGTAAATTGCTGGTAATTTTCCAGAAAGGTTCCAGAGAGGTCATGTTTTGATCTTGGATCGGTCTCACGCAGTGATGATGCGATTTTGCAGGTCAGAGTTCGAACTGCGAAAGATGACGCACGAACGCATTTCTGGTCTGCCGCATTCGCAAAGAATGATGTGACATGCCAAATGTTTATTAAAGCAGCGAGTATTGCATGTCACTCTCTTTCAGACTAGGAAAGTCTAATTAACCAAAATTAGAACTTAAATTTTAAACTGGTTAAAACATGATTAAATCACACATTAAATGTATACTGTATAAATATGCACTGTATATTTGATTTAGAGTTAAGTGGGACACTGTGTTTTTTACATTATTTAACACTTAGGGGGAAAAAATCATATATACAAGTAAATAAAACATTTTGTCTTTGTTTTAATTTTATAACCTTTCCTTAAAAGATTAATTTCTTTTAACAATGCAATTACAATAATATTTCAGTTCAGATGCAAAATCCTCCAAGTACCATCTAGAATTTCTTCTACAATGAGCATTGTTTATGTTCAGTTCTTTCATGTTAAATTCAATAAAAAAAAAGACCTATTCTTTGCCATAAAAGTGAAATTACTGAATCAAGACACAGGAGCCTGAGGAAAAATGCTAATTTTAGAAGAAAATTTCAGGTTTTTGCATCTAAACTCTTCATTTTTTATTTCACTTTGTTTTATATAGTAATACGCTTTATTATTTTTATATAAAACATTTATTTGTCAAACTGCGCAATTGAAAATAATTATATACAGTGCTCAGCATGAAGGAGTACACACTCTTTTGAAAATGAATATTTGTATGCATTTCTCAGAGATCCGGTAATATATTTTGGTGCATTTGAATTTGATTAAACAGATAGTTATTTAAATTATATTTTAGTCACCGAACTTCTTTAGAAATAGAAAGATACTTCATTTAAATTCAAGCAAAATATTGCAAAACATTGTTTCCTGATCTTCCCTCTCTTTCAAATTGTATTTAAAGGAGCAGTAGGTGATTCTCTTTAGAAGCATTTGTTGTTGTGCTGGTTGAAAGTCTCTTCACAGTCTAATAGTAATGATTACAGTAAATGATCTAAATGTGTTTATATGTATTTTTATATTTTGATTAAGGCATAAAAAAATGTAACGAAAAAAAGTTCATTCAATTAAATAGAGTCGGAACGACATCTCTCATAATTCCGATAAGTCGCCCAATCTGTCTGTCAGCAAATGCAGATTTGAACAACTGCGCAGCCTTTTGTACACAGCACCGCCAACCGCCGCGCGTTCATGAGAGAGAGCATGTGCGCGAGCGATCGGTAAAAACATGCTGAATCAAAACTTTTTTAAAACCTGAAGCATTATTGGAGCTACCTTTTGCACGCTGGAGAAAGGATGACACAATGGCTGAAGGATTTCTCTTAGACAGGTAATGTTCAGTTTTAAAACTATTTTAGCTTCGAGCAAAGCTGATGAAACGTTAGATGTTGTTGTTACAAACAGGTTATATCTTCATAATATATTATTATTGTTCAGCCACTAAAATCTTCCGGTGAAAGATTGATAAGACTATTTTCAGTTTCATAAGGGGCCTTTTACAGCATCGATGATGTAGATTTTAATTAGTTTAACAACAAAACACAAGTAAATAGCGCTATTCCGCCTAGTCTCTCCCTATATTGTTTACCATGCAACTCTAATATTCGCTCTGAAATAGCATGTCAGTTTGGCTTACACGCCCCCCCAGACAAGCACTAGTCGCTTTTAAAGGGTCACGAAACACCAGAACACATGTGTTGAGCTGTTGTCAGTGGTATATGTGTCCCACACTGCTAAAAACACTATTAGGTCACCTATATTTCACTAAAAAGTGTAAATTGGTTGTTTTTGCGTTATTTCAAGCAAATTCGTACTTCCTGTTTGAAACGAATTTTTGAAGCTGCGTCACGGTCATGAGATAATAGCGTGTATTCCAGCGTGCAGACTGGACGTCTGTGCCAGAGTGTGTCTTATTACGTCTTACAGTGTGCTGCATTAATGCATGAGTAAAGCTTGGTTCAAACCAATCAGCGCGCTCTATTGTGCAACTTCATTAATATTCATTACTGTCACTGTTTACACCAGAGACGCCACGTTGTGTTGGCGAAACAAGCGTGAAGTGTTGCTTTTATAGTTTGCTGCAGTGAAGTTTTGTTTTCATTTTCTCTCTGTGAGAGCGCAGCTGGAGTCACGTGTGGATTAACAGTGTACGCGACGCTCCACAACAATAACTTACGTGTCTAAGGAGGATTATTGTTTACCTGAGAGCTGTTCTCATCTGCAAACGCTGAAATCCGGATTTGCTTGTAGTATTATCTTCATAAAGACGCGGCTCTAGTTGCTGGTGATTGTCCTGTCTCTACAGTTTTGGTAAGTGAGCGACCAGTGCTCTTTGTTTATTCAGTTTGTTCGTATCGAATTAAGTTAACTATTGCACTGAGTGCAAACTTGTTAGCACCGCATTTTCTGACGCTACCTGCCGTGTGCATCTAAGTTTCCGGGAATTGCGGAGGTTTTTTTTCTCTCATTCGCCGTGCGGTATCAAACATTGCATGAAAAATACACGCTTAGAGCAGATCCTCGAATCAAATATTGCGTTTGTCGCGAGGGGCATGAATGAATTCCCTGAATGAAAGAGCCAAACTGCTGTTAAAGTCCAACATTTAATAATCTGGCAAAAAATTCAACTACAGATGTCCATGTAGGTTAAACACAATGACTGTACAAAATACACCATCACTTTCTCGTGTGTGTATTTTGACTGAAACTCGCGCGTGCCCAAATAGACACTCCCACACCATCCCACTTTAGTTCCTCCGACACTCCCCCCTAAACAGAGCTGGACACGCTCACTTTTCTGACTTTTTCCAAAGTAGAGGTGTGAAAACACCCTGCTGAAACGAGGGGCTTTCATGGCCCTTTAACACATGAGAGAGGGTTCTTTTGCGGTGTTCCTGTTTCAGGAGGCGTGGCTCTAGACGGCAGGGACTGTGATTCAGAGATTTATGCTAAGCTGTTAGCATTGTGGAAGATCACCTACTGCACCTTTAATAAGTTCACTCAAATTTATGTTAGGGGAACTCACTTTGGACTATTTTTGTAAGTTATTTGGTTAGATTAGCATCAGATTTGGATTCAGTACTGACTAAACTAATATATATATATACTTCAATTTAATATTGTGTAAACCAGGGGTGTCCAAACTCGTCCTGGAGGGCCGGTGTCCTGCATATCTGTGTTCCAACCCCAATTAATCACACCTGAACCAGCTAATCAAGCTCTTTCTAGGTGTACTAGAAACTTCCAGGGAGGAAGTTGGAGCTAAACTATGCAGGACACCGACTCCAGGACTGAGTTTGGACACCCCTGGTGTAAACCATCGTATTTAAAATAAAAATATATATAAAAAAAAGAGATCTTTAAGGGGTGAACTTATTTATGCTCACTGCTCAGCACTGTATATAGCACACATTGTAATGTACATTCTAATAAATTATGATGCCAAAAAAAAAAACAATACTGCACTGTGTGTGTTTTGCTTAATAAAATCCCACACGTATGCACTATAATAGCTAAATGCTAAACCAGTTTGACTCCAGGTGATGCCGGTCTGCAGGATGACAGATCTGTTTGGCATGCTCTCAGTGGGCACAGCTTTACAATGCTGGATATTTGCTCCATTAATGAGGACAAAACCCTGCTGGCCTGACATGATGACAGAGAATAAGTGAATATTCACTTGTGTTTTAAATTAATATAAAGTTTTCAAATAAATTTGAGTGCCGGGGCAGTAATTTACTGAGTTAGTGGGGAAAAAAGCAGTATATGTATTATAAAAACTTAATTTTTTTTATCATGTGAACAATACACATTTCATTATGATAAAAGTCTAATATTTAATTCAATTATTTAATAATACAGTGAAATTGTACATTATTTGATTGTTAATTAATCAACCAAATACACTTAATAAAAAATATTAACTATAAAATGCTTACCTGCATGCAATGAAATTAACAAACACTGTGTCGATAAATTATTTTATTATTATACATTATTATTATTATTTCCAAGCAAATGTTTTACATAAAATGTATTTGGATTAGGATTTATTTCAGAAATGTATTTAAGAGTATTTGGAAATTTGGTGCCTGTTAGATTATTTATTAAAATAGTTTAATTATTAATTAATTATATAATTATTAATTAATATAATGCATTTATCAATAATATAAACTACATTGTCTCTAAATGGGTTTTATGTCTGCTCAAAGTTTAAGTAAATATTTTGGCATGTTGATGTATTCAATGAGATTTAAACAGAAAGCACATCTATTATTGAAGATTGTTCCCATCCCTTAAATATAAAAGCTCTTGCCATTAAAAAGATATTTTAAGCAAACTTCAAGTAAAGAAAAATGTGAATCAAATGTCCTCTGTGCTGACTGCCATTACAATATTAAATACTGGGTTTTAAGTATGTATAGGGTTTTAATTGAGTTTTTAATGTGATGACATTGAATGTATTTGTGTTGCCTGTTTTTCTGTAATGCATCATGTAATGTGAATGCTGATGTGGATGTATGGTGAAGCCAAAGATAAATGTCCATAAAGAAAGTAAAGTCTATTATAAATTGCATAATAAAGAAAGTAAAGTATATTAATTTTAGACGTTGGTTTAAATAGACTAATTTAGACTAAAAGCAAATATTGATGTTTTTTTTTCAACCAAAAAATTTATTTTACTGTCATTTAAAAATAAATAAAAAATACAAACACCTGACTTATAATAAATGCTCCTAAAATAATAGTCATACAATTATGAATTTACACTCTTATTATTTAAGGTCACTCTTAACTCTCCCATAGCTGTATTGATAAATTAAAATAGCCAACAAATACCAAAATGCTAGAGTTTAACTCTGTCTTAAAAGATTGGGAATAAATAGAAAAAAAATGTAGTTTAGGTGACTGAAAACTGAGATTTCACCAATGTAAAGTGAAAGTAAAACTACCAGCAAAGAATAACAATGATGGGCGTCCTTCAACAAATAATTCACACAACACTATAAAAATAAAATGGGATTGATCTGTGAACATTATGATTGAGGCGAAAAGATTTAGAAGATAAAGATAGAAGTTAAAATGATAAAGCATAATGACCTGTATTTGCTTTTATTGATATATCGTTAAGACAGATCCAAAACAATGGTTCACGAAACGTTAAACTGATTTGTCTTAATCAAGAACACAGTAATTTACCATCACAATTCTCAACGAATAATAATTCACATATAATCCATATAAACAACTAGTAACCAAACTAAATGACCCATTTTGATGATTAACTAGCGTGAGGAAGCAGTTAGCTCGTAGTTCACACTCAACTCCTGTGTTTATCAGGCCTCCTGTTGCCTCTTCACTTATAACAGTGCAACCAGCGGATGATAATTAAACTAATTAGCTCCTAAATCAAGATCAGACTCCCAGAAAAACAGTGGAAATAAACAGAGACGTGTTTAAATCAGCTGGATGGCCGTTTGCGACCGTTTTACAAGCAGGAAATAGACGCGAAAACAGAAACACAGAAGACGATTGTTTTCCCCCCTCACCTGATCAGGCTGATTCGGGTAAATTCGGCTCTTCTCAGATTCCTCGCATGACGATGAGATCAGAAATAAATTTTAATGCAGCAGAATTAATCGTAACTCCGTTTTAAACACATTTAAAGGGCCACGCAGCCCTCACGAGCTGAGAGTCAGTTTTCACAAGCAATCTCGTCACCACACCCATAAGGGAACCGGGAACATGGCAACAGACGCGGCGGAGGGGTGAATCAACAACACTGCTGATCAACCAATTTCAATAAATTAAATTTAAAATCACATATGTGATTTAATTTACTCCATACAGTGTTTAACTCTGCTATAATGCTATATTACGTGTTTTGTGGGAGAATACAGATATAAATGTTGTAGATGGGATTGTGTTGTACACCCACAGATGAATGGTACAGTCCGTCCGCTGCCTCAACAAAGCGCCAGTAGGAGAAACAGGAAACGTATCCGCTACGTGTTTGAGTCTCGCAGGGAAACTTTTTACGCTGATTTTTGTTGTTGTAAAAGTTTTTAAAAGTCTACAGAGTGGAAGATTTAAAACAGTGACTTCATTATAACATACCGTGTGATCTGAAGGAGTAAATCATGGATAGACAAGCGGATAAAACTACCGTAATAAACAGTACTACAGTGTAAACAAAGTAGCTTCATTCAAATTACGATAATAAAGTCTATAATTCAAGTCTCCTTTATTCAGTTCAGCTATTTTATTTAATTGTATTCAGCTATTTCACAGCAAATTATCTTATATTATTTTAATAATAATACCTAAATACTATTTAATAATAATATATAAATAATCAGTGGTGGAAAGAGTACTGAAAGATCATACTTAAGTAAAAGTACCATTACTTGCCTAACAATTTAGTGCAAATAGAGTAAAAGTATCTGTTGTAAATATTACTCAAATTATAAGTAAAAAGTAGCCCCTTCAAAAGTACTCAAGAGTAGTGAGTATTACGCTGTGTAAAGCTCATGCGTTTACATGTAATTTGTGGATGTGTGTGTGTAAAGCCAACATCTTAAACCAACGTCATATTGATGTCAAATACTGACATTTATTCAGCTGTTATGGCAACCAAAATTCAACGTCTCATAGACGTTATAGTGGTAACGTCCACACAACGTCAAGCTGTGACATCATTAGACGTTGATATTTGGTTGGTTTTAGGTTGGATGTTGGACATTTGACATCAGCTGATGTTGAGGTCTGATGTAAACCCAATTTTCATTTCCAAATAAAATGCAGCGTCTCCACGACATTAGGGTACAATTTCCATCTGACGGCATGTTGTCTGCTGGGTGTTTAAGGCCATTTTGGTCATCATACAGTAAATATACATCATCTTCTCATCAGAGACATGCATATAAACCGGGGGTGCCCATACTCGGTCCTGGAGGGCCGGTGTCCTGCAAAGTTTAGTTCCAATCGATATTAGATGCACCTGGGCTATCTAATGAATCTCATACTAGGCTTTCTAGAAACCTCCGTGCTGGTGTGTTGAGGCAAGATGGAGCTAAAATCTGCAGGACGCCAGCCCTCCAGGACTGTGTTTGGGCATCCCTGATCTAAACCGTCTCTGGGTCAATGCTGGTAAAGACTTTGAACATCTTCTTGGACACTTTTAATGCTTCCAATCCAAACAGTTTGCTGCAATGTAAAGTGCACATGTCTTGAGGTAGTTCATTATGATGCAATTTACCTTCTATGTGTGATTTGATTGGACGGGAATTACAGGATTGATTTTTCTAATTCCCATAGACAAGAAATATTAAAGTAGTGACTGCAGGTTGAAGGACAGTAGTGGAGTAAAAGTACAGATACTGCAGTAAACATGTGCTCAAGAAAAAGTAAAAGTGCACATTTATAAAACTACTTCGTAAATTAAAATTCCTAAGAAAAACGACTCAATTGCAGCCATTTGAGTATTTGTGATTAGTTACTTTACACCACTGGTAAACGTAACATTTTGTAGTGTGTGTAGTTATTGCCCAGCAGGCACACAACGTCATTAGATGGTAATATTAGGGTAGATCTAGGCTGTGATGTCAGGTGACCAAAATTTATTGTCTAGTTAGCATCTAAGGACAATATAATTTTGATGTCCAATAATGGCATCAAATGACATCGATATTAGGTTGTGTTGGAAAGTGACCAAAATCCAACGTCGAGGCAACATCTTAAACCAATGTCATTCATTATTCGTCAGGTACGGCAACCAAAATCATGTCTGATAGAAATCTTTTTGGTAACGTCCACACAACACAAGCTGTGACATCATTAGATGTTGATATTTGGTTGATTTTAGGTTGGACATTGACTTCGGCCTGATGTTGAGTTCTGACGTCAACCTGATTTTCATTTCCAAACAAAATGCAACGTCCCCACAAGGTTAGGTTACGTCAATCTGACATCATGTTGACTTCTTGTGCCTGCTGGGTGTTGAAGGCCATTTCGGTCATCATACAGTAAACATCCGTCATCTTCTCAACAGTGACCTGCATCTAAACAGTCTCTGGATCAACGCGTGTAAAGATTTTAGACATCTTCTTGGACACTTTTAATGCTTCCAAACAGTTTGCTGCAATTATAAATCGCCCATGTCTTGAGGCAGATAATTATGATGTGATTTTGCTTCTATGTGCGATTTGATTGGACGGGAATCACATGACTGATTTTTCTAATCTCTATAGACAAGACAAAATAAAGTAGAGCCTGCAGGTTGAAGGAAAGTAGTGGAGTAAAATACAGATACAGCACTAAAATGTGCTCAAGGGAAAATAAAAGTGCACATTTATAAAACGACTCAGTAAATTACAATTTCTGAGAAAAACTACTCAATTACAGTCACTTGAGTATTTTTAATTTGTAACTTTACAACACTGGATGGAAATAATACACAAATACACACAGATATGTGTCTATACATGTATTAACACAGGTTTAGACTCTGCATAAACATATATAAGTATATACATTATTAGTATCTTATTAAATAACTTGATAGGCCAAACAATGGGTGAAATAGATTCAGCATAACATATTAAAGTCAATATTAAACATTCGGACTTGTGTATTAAAATACACAAAGTAATAATCTTGCATAATTTGATTGCATTAAAATATAACCAACAGCAAGTTCATATTATGAATATTTCATTAACAGTACTAATCGCAAATTCATTTAATTTGACCCCTTGATTAGATTTTTTTTGTTTGCACTATAAAGAAATCAGGGCACTCAAGAGCCCTGCAATACTGTAATAAAATAACGTTCTTAACCTTTTTTCTAGAAAACCGTTTTCTGAATGTTTTGTTTAAAAAGGAACGCAAGAACAGAAACGAAAAACATACCAATTCTGCTCGGAGTGAACTGAATGGATTTCTTTTCGTTTTTAAGCCCTGATTAAAGGTGTAAAAATAAAAAACTCCCAACACAATATTCTGACGGATAATGTAAAAATAATAATGATTTCATAATCGTCATCATCGTTTTCATCCGCTTATTCAGGGCCGGGTCGCGGGGGCAGCAGTCTTAGCAGACAACCCCAGACTTCCCTCTCCCCAGCTCCTCCGGGTAGATCCCGAGGCGTTTCCAGGCCAGCAGATAGACATAGTCCCTCCAGCGTGTCCTGGGTCTTCCCTGATGCCTCCTCCTGGTGGGACATGCCTGAAACACCACCCTAGGTAGGCGACCAGGAGGCATCCAAAACCCAAGCCCCCTCAGCTGACTTCTCTCGATGAGGAGGAGCAGCAGCGGCTCTACTCCTCCTCCTCCTCCTCCTCCTTTGTGAAGGAAACTAATTTCAGCTGCTTGTATCTGAGATATTGTCCTTTCAGTGATGAGCCAAATCTCATGAGCATAGGTGAGAGTAGGAATGTAGATTGACCGGTAAATCGAGAGCTTTGCCTTTCGGCTCAGCTCCTTCACCACAACAGACCGGTACATCACGCATTACTGCTGCACCAATCAATATCTTTTAATATGTAGTCAAATAATTCTTGCTCTAAATGTGACTGACAAGATTTTTTTCTCACTTATGAACTATTGTAACACATAGCAGATTAGTGATTATCCTCTGTAAATCATTGAGAAAAAACAAAAGCTAAATAGTATTTTTTTTCTTGCGATATTAATTTGAAATGTTTTCAGGCTTTGTTTTGATGCATGAAACCCTCATGTATATACACATTTTCCCACATGCATGCACACAAACGTTTAATATTCTGTGTATTTTACATGCACTATTAGTATACTGTTTATTTATTATCAGTATAATTGAATATCACACACATCATTTTAGTCTGAGAGTGATTCGCTAAACAAAAACTAATCAACTAAGTTTTAAAATGCACGCTAAATGCACTTGCATATTGAATATTTAATGTCGTCAATGAAAGAGAACAGTAGGTGAAGAATCAATGCAGCGAGTTGAAAGCAATCTGTTCACCGCCAGAGATCATATGAGGTCTTTGCCCTCTTTAAAATCAACCAGATGGGGTCACAGCTCCTCAATTACTGTTGTCATTAAATCAGAATAACATTAGTGACATGCATCATTCCCGTTTTCTATAGGGAAATGTGATCGTGAGAAGGAAAATAAATGAATATAGCATCACTAGAAGGACGAACATCTATAGCGCGAGCTAAAAACAGATGCAGTTGTGGCTATAAATAGACATGTTAATGCGGAGAGGATACCCTGCTTTTGTTATCTCAAGCATACAAATGTGGATGGAATTGCTGTGAGATGGTCAAGAGTAAAATAAATGAGCATTCACTGTTATTATATCACTGCTTTTAAGCCATCGAATATCAAAAGCTCATTGGAGATTGTGATGACGTATATTTAATGTATATATGCATGCACACTAAACACCAGAGACGCTTTAAAGACTGAATGTGTTCATATGTTGTGAGAAATGCACTGTAGAAGCTTCAGATTGATGTAAAGTACAGTGTAAATGTAAAAAGCTGCTGAATTCATCACTCCATATATCTCTAGGAAGGCTTGTGGTTGCTGTGGTAACCGTCACAAATGGCGACTGATGTCAGGCGAGGAGAATCCACAGAGAGAAGACGATAACAAAATCTTGCATTCATTTTAAACATGTTAAACTTTTTTTCTTTCTTTCTTTATAGGATATTTATCTTTATTTCATTTATTTTACTTTACAGGATTTCCACA